TCCCAATCTCTGTTCCGACTCAAGGTTTAAGCCTATCCTAAACATCGCTAGAACAAAACCTTTATGCAAAAAGCTGTGACTAAATCCATGCTGAACCTCAACTCCTACATTTCTGTCTAAAGCCCACGCCCTACATCCCTTAAAGCTTCTTCTAGACCCTCAAACCACACCCAAGCCCAAACCTTACGAGACACCACGACACAAATCTGACAACCAAACCAGAAAGAAAACACACAAACCCAACCCTAAACCGTACCCGATTTAAATTCTAGACCCAAACACAACAGCAACAACAACAACATCAAACCAACCCCAATCAAGTTTTCTGCCCCAAATGCTAAACCCTAAACCCTAAACCGCTAAACCCTAAACCGCTAAACCCCAAATGCTGACAGGTTCGTGGTCCTCCGGCTTCCCCCACAAAGAGGCCTGAAGCCTCAGGCGAAGAAGGAGAACCAGAGGGTGCATTTTTTTGGGGGGGTTTAGGGTTTAGGGTTTAGAGTTTAGGGTTTAGGGTTTTAGGGTTTAGGGTTTAGGGTTTAGGGTTTAGGGTTTGGGAATATTTTGGTGGTTTAGGATTAAGGGTTTAGGGTTTAGGGTTTAGGATTAAGGGCTTAGGGTTTAGAGCTTATGGTTTAGGGGGGTTTAGGAGTAAGGGGGTTTAGGGTTTAGGCATCGAAGGCTCGAAATGATGAGGAATCGCAGCCCAGTACAGTCCCAAAAACAGGTATAGGCAAGTGTGCCCGAAAACCCATTTCTATCTACTACTAAGGCCTAGATGGTTCTTTCTGTGTTTTTCAGGAAGCAGGTTTGGATTCTTTTTGCAGTCACTCGTATTGCTGCTATAACATGACCCCCCTCCCCCACCCGTAGTTACCGAACGCACTTAAACATACCCATGAACCTTCAAGTCACTAATGCTTCTAGTTCACCCTAGACCCTAGACCCTAACCCTATTAAACCCCAAACCCTGTAAACCCCATGAGCCCTAAACTCTAAACCCTATAAACCCCATAAACTCTATAAGCCCTAAACCTAAAGATCTTGCAAACGGCAGGAGATTGCAGGAATCTCCTGGATCCGGAATGAGAAACTGCCTGGCTGGCCCGGCGGCACACAGGACTGACTGACTGTCCTCCCGATACTAACATAGGGGCCTTAATTTTTGGAACAGGGTTTTGGGGGTCTTTTGTTGTATAAGTACAATAAGGGAGCCGCAAAATAATATAGGTAGTTATTGAGGCCCCTATATTAGGTGTTCCCGTTGCGTGTTCGGGTTGAGGGTTTAGGTAGGGGGTATTCCATGTTCAAGTTTCAGCTTGAGTAACGGATGTGTTGAAACTCCAGGATTTCTCATTCAGGGTGTTCGTGTTTAGTCCTAGATTTGAAGCCCCCCAAACCAGGGCAACAACAGCAGGTGCTTCGGGGTTTCTGTAGACTCTGACAGTTTCAGCCCGAAGTCCCTTTACCGCTAAAGTAGTCGTAAGGACCCAAGACAGGACCTCCCTAAACCCTAAATCCTAAACCCTAAACCCTAAACCCATTACCCCAAAATGGGTAGTTGAGCTTGAGATCCTAGACCTAGAACATGAAGGGCTTGGGTTTAGGGTTTAGGGTTTACGGTTTAGGCGCGGCAGGAAAGTTACCTGCGCAGGCTTGTACAAGGTTTGAGTGAAGCCTTGACGTCAAGGGCAAGCACTACGGACGAAGACCCTGTGTTCTTAAAGCCTCACTCCAGTCCGCCAGCCGGCGGTTCCTTCACATCGAGCATTTTGTTCCGCAGCTGCAGCAACTCGCCCAAAGGCTACATGGATTTCCAGTTTTGAGTTTCGGGTTTAGTGTTTGTTTTAAAGATTTGGTCCGTTCAATGATCCATGTTGTATTCGAAGGTTCGTAGGTAGCAGGTAGCGCTGGCTGCAGCACTGGCTAGAATCAGAAGCAGGGTTTTAGGCCATAAACGTCTATGCGTACTGCTAAGGTTCCCTGTATGCATAGATATACTTGAGCACTGACTTGATCCTTTTAAGGGCTGAGTATATGCTCGATAGATCTCCACAGGTACGGATGCCATTATAGGCAATATCAGCCGTCGGTATAGGGTAACTTATTGGATCGAATTTGCGCTTCCTTTTAACGAGCCCTTATAGAATAGAAACCCTCATTCAGGGCCACTCAACTTCCTAAGCTCTCCAACATTCCTTCAGAAGAGCCCTTCTAGAAACCCTTACCAACACCCCCTGCTAGAGGCCCCTGAAAGAATGCCTAAACCCGATAAGCCGTAAACCCTATAAGTCCTCAACCCGCAGGCCTTTAAAGGAACCCTTCGCAGAAATCTTCAGCCGAGGAAGCTGCTCAAAGATCCGGATGCCGGCCTCAGCAGCGACGGCAAGGTCGGAGAAACTTACCGCTGTACGGTTGCAGGGTTTACGGGTCTAGGGTTTTCGGGTTTAGGCTTTAAGGGTTTACGGCTGTTTAGGGTTTTAGGGGATTGAGGCTTTTGGGGTTTCGGGCTTTAGGGTTTTCGGGTGTAGGGCTTTAGGGTTTTAGGGTTTTACGGTATTGAGGCTTTTGGGGTTTAGGGTTGTAGGGTGTAGGGCTTTAGGGTTTAGGGTTTAATTGGGGCTTTAGGGTTTAAGGGCATTGCGGCTTTTGCGGTTTAGGGCTTTAGGGTTTTAGGGTTTATAAAGGGCTTTAGGGTGTTTGCGTTCATGGCTTTAGGGCTTTAGTTTACGGCTCAAGGGTTTGGCGTGCTGAGTCATGGTAGCGTTGTGGATACTTGTAGGGTTGCTAGAAGTGCTTATGAGAACCATCACTGCTCGGGTTCCTTAACCCTAAACCCTAAACCGTTTCGGGTAGAGATACTATGGTTATTGGAAGAGTTTCGCCTTGTTCCATTGTTCAAACCTCAGCAGGGCTGAAGGCTGGGAGACCCCCTCCTTCTTCAAAAGAAACGTGGAACCAGAAATTATTGATATCCCTTCTTCTTGCAGGGATCTCACTTGAAGACAAACTATGTTTAGGTCCGGTGCTTTCTTGCGCGCTGCTAGTTTAGGGTTTGGGTTTTCGGCATTTCGCTTTATGTTGGCGTAGATAGCCCATGGGAGAACTTTGAATGTTTTGCTTTCTATAGCTAGTGATTGAGTTTGGGTAGTGCTCTTGTTATAAGGGTGCCGTACTATTTTGGGGACCTAAAAAGGGACCCCCAACTTTCAGAACTCCCATTTTTTGTCATCTACATCAGGACTCCAATAGGAAGCAAGACTAGCACCGCCTTCGTACCATGAATTCCAAATCCAAAAAACCACAATCCATAACCCTAAACCGCCTAAACCCTAAACCCATAAACCCTAGTCCCTAGAGTCCATATGCATGTGGGTGGTTGTCAAAATTATGGTCCCTTTTTGGGTCCTTCTTATAAGACGGAACCTACTGTTTAGGGTACCCCAAAAGGGACCATAATTTTGACAACTACCCATGTACGCTTAAGGCTTAAGGTGTAGTCTTGCTCGCTTCGGTAGGCGCTGGCGGGCGGATGGCTGGACATCAGGAGGATGCTTTGCAGAATGAAGTTTCTTTAGTTTAGGGGGATTAGGGTTTAGGGGGGATTAGGGTTGAGGGTCAGGGACCCCAACCTCTAAACTCTACAGGGGGATGGCCTGGTAGACTGATGTATCCAAAGGCCAGATTAGGCTGGCAGAGTACACACCAATGGAAACGAAACCCTGCTTCCGGAATTCACGCCGAAGCCCTAAACCCCACACCCCATGGCAAGAATCCCGAAGTCCGTGAACCTAAAGTAGAATTCCCAGACCAGAAACTGTGAACCGGGAGACATTTTGGACCGGAAGTCTCACGTAGAGTCCTTTTCGGGTTGCTGATTGTAACCAGCAGACAAGCACCCGATCTGCAAAATTCACGCCAGAATCCCTGAACCCCTAGTCGTAGTCCTCACTCAGGGTTAAAATGCTGTCAGACTTACACGATAGGCTTTCTAGGCTGGTGCGTTTTCTGAGTTCTTGAAGGACACGTTTGCGGGCTCCCTACATGTGCCTCGCACTTCTTTCCCCAACCCATCGTCCTAGGCCTGTCCGGGCTCTCTCTTGTGCGGAGCCATGAAACATCTCCGGTGTCTGCAATCCTGAACTTCGTCCCTCGAGCGCTTGAGCCGCCATAGCTCACTCTTGTGTACGGTTGCTTCGAATTTACATATACTTCATTGTCGTTGTAGGCGCCTATACAAATGCAGGTTAAAGCAGGTTCTTGTCAATGGGCGTGGATCCTCAACTAGGGTCCTTATTGAGGCTTTCGGGCGGGGATCTCCAGCTTCGTGGCTTCTTGATCTCCTCTCCTAGAATTCAACAGGCCAGCACGTGCTCTGGAACTCCATGTTTCTCCCCGTCCTGTTGTGACCTCTCTCTCTCTACGTACAGACCTCTCTCTCCATCTCTGTCGCTATCTATCTGTATGTACAGATCTGTATAAACGTATCCAAATACATGTGTCTATGTCTCTGTGTGTGCGTTTATACTTGGTTACCTTCATATGCAGATACAGACCCAGGATTTCTAGCTTCCACATGCTGCAGGCTCTAGGTCTTGTGGTTTGCTCCGTCCATCCGGGCGGTGAAGGGTTTGTGCTCAGATTCAGCTGTGCTGCCTCTGTCTCTGTGATATCCAGGACCAACTTCTTTAACCATCGGAACGTATAAATGCAGACTGGGCCTCAGTGTTTAGGGATAGAGGGCCTAGCACTAGTACTATCCTAGCAAATCCGTGGACGTACCTGCGGGATCTCAAACCGACCTCTCCTTCCATCCCCGCTTTATTTCTGAAGGTGCTCATCAGCGCTGTTTGTCGTGTAGTTTCAATATCTTCCGATACCAAACAGCATGAGACTCGCAAACTCTTCCTCACATCGCTGGGTAAAGGCTGGTTACTTGCAGCTTTTGTGTGCCAGTGTTTCGTGCTGCCCGTAGAGCAAACTTGCTCGCAGTCACAGTCATGAGACGAATTCGGATCTTCGCGTCACCATTGCAATGCTCGCCCGGTCAGAGAAATTGCGCCCTCTCATTTACACGAAGCCAGCCAGCTGTAAGGTGCGATGTTGTGGTCCGGAATCTGTCGACTTCCACAGTCCATGATGACAAACCGCCGAGTCCCATCTGCAATGCAGACTTGGCGAGAATGGTCGAGGAAGCCCGGAGCCCACTGAGGGGAAGAGGACCTGGAGCTACTGAAGTTGCAGGGCCCTCCCACGATTACCGGTATAGAGCGACGTTGCGAGGTTGGAGTATGAGGCTGGCCTCTTCAGCCAAAAGGAGAGACCACAAGAAGGGCCGGCAGTCCAACATAGACGCAAACTATCTTCTGGACCTTGTACTTGAGCAGGGTGGCTTGTGCGCATATTCCGGAATACCGATGGAACTGCTGATTCCAAACTCGCATTGGAGGGTGTCCATCGAGAGGATCAATACCAGACACGGGTACCTTAAAGGCAACTGCTGCTTAATTGCAGCTGAGTTCAATACAGCAGTGCGCAAGATGTGTGACGAAGCCGGAGCTGCTACCGGATCTGCACAATGGTCCAAGCAGAAAGTCCAGGAGGTTGTCCATGTCCGGACAGGGCAGCTGCAGGTGCAACGGCTGCAGGAAAGCATTGCTAGTGCAAGGCTTCGCCCATCCCCGAGCGGACCACTCTCATATAGACTATTTCGAGGACCAGACGCAGAGGGAAGGTGGCTGTGCGTGCGCTGTGGCAGTTGGAAGTCGCAGTCACAGTACTCTAAGCGCAAGGCAAGCAGTAATGGGCTACGAGCTACTTGCAAGCAATGTAGCTATGACGTGGAATCAGCCTGGCTGCAGACACTGCGGGGACATGGGATCAGGCTATTGACTACCGCCCGCCAAAGAGCTGGAAAGGGCACATGGACTGGAAGTTTCGCGCTGGATTTGGACGACTTGCTTGGCATGCTTTGGCTCCAAGGTGGACGCTGCTATTACTCAGGCGTGCCGCTGCATTGTGCAGCGGGCCCGGCCCATTGGGTCTGGTCCATCGAGCGCCTAGACAATTCCGTCACATATACCAAAGAGAATTGCGTGTTGATTGCCCAAGAGTTTCAGACATCCGACCACAGTCGTAACAGAGCAGCATATCCAGTTTTCGGCACCGCTCAGTGGTCACGAAGCAAAGTGAACCAAGTCTGGGGACTCTACCACGAAGACTGTGAGGCTCGAGTTGTTCGGGGTTTACCCAGGCCTAGTTAGACATAGCACTGGGCCAGGAGTGTTACAGAAAGCAGACATGAAGAAGCAGAAGAAAGGGCCACACCTGCGGCGCTATCCAAGCCAGCGCTACTGAACGCAATTTCTCAGAACCCTAAGCCCTCAACATTTAACTCACTCCGAACCCTGCAGGCGAAACTCCTGACCCTGCGGTCCCAATGACCCCCGATCCTACAACCCAAAGGTCTCTTATCCCCGAACGCTAAGCACGAACCCCCGAACACCACAACTAGAAACTTTCAGCCCTGAAGCAATCTCTGAAGACGAGGCCCAAAGCCAAGAAACCTCAAATCCATAAGTTCAATTCCTGAAGTTCATGAGAAGTTGGAACTACGTTTCTAGCTATTGTAGAGAGAGTTATCAGTTATCCTACCTGTAGGCCACATATCACAAATCTTTCATATGTAAGAAATTTCTGGCTCTGCGTAGAACTACTAGTGTACCTCCGGGTAATCCCAAGCAAACACTCTTGTCTAACCGGTCTGGAATTGAAGCAAAATTCTGACAAACGTTCGTAATTCCCGAAAAGCTTTTACATCTGCCCATGAACCTTCATGTACAGCAGTCCCTCAACCCTGAACCCCGCTAAGAATCTCACGGCAACAAGAGCTGTCTACATGGCACCTTTCAGTGGCCTGTCATTCTGTGCAACTGCCGATGAACCTCCCAGTCCCTATAAACCCTGAAACCCTAGTCGAGGATGATGGAGGCGTTTGAAGAGGGCTGGGCGCGCGCCGCAGCAGGAAAAAAGTGATGCTTTGCGGTGCGACAGTCTAAACCGGTTTAGGGTGGAATTAGGCTGTGGGGTTAAGGCATCGAGCGTATGCCGGAAACTACGGTCTAATATAGTTTTGCCTGAGGACCCTCCCAGACTCGAGTATTCGGTACCTTGCGGTAGAACTGAGCCATGCTTCTGAGTCCGAATCAACTCTTGCTGACTGTTCCGACAGGGTTTGATGGGGATCTGGGTCGAAATGAAGGGGTCAGGATAGTTTCGGTACGGTTCCATATTATACGGCTATAACCCCTCTAATACTAATCGGCCAGTGTAGGGCCAACGTACATACAACATTCACAACTAGATCACCTATAGAGTATGTACTTCGGCCGTGCAGGGGCACAGTAGAGGGGTTCTTACATAAGCAACTTCAGGGGGAAAGTATATGCTGTACGCTAAACCCTAAACCCTGCACTCTAAACCTTATATGAATGCACCCTTTGAGGTTTCGCAGGGTTTAAGGACTGCCTGTAACTACCAAATTCTACTTTTGTGTAGCGCCCCTATAGTTTCCCTGATATGTACTAAGAACTCTTTTTTACGAGCCCTAAGATAGAAATTAAAAATCGGTTATGGTATAGTTTACGGCATGGTTTTGGGACTACAGTTTGGAGGTTTAAGGTTTGTGGTTTGGGGGATCCGGGAAAGAACGTGCGTGTTGGCACTTTCACCCTTCACTACATGCAGGCTTTCAGATGAGTTGAATCCGAGACCCGCCCGAAAACCGAGATCCCCAGACCAGAGTGCTGCTAGTTGGTTTAGTGTTTAGGTTTTAGGGCTCTCAGTCAGAATAACAACAGCATCGCAGAAAGTGATATCCGAAACCCGTCTGATACCAATCTTGGCTCGGCCCCGCAGTATTTTCCATCTGGCACGCCGCTAGCCAAGATTCCCAGCACGCAGACACCCTATAGACACAGCTGCGATGAAAGGAGTATATATGAATGCTTATGTAGACTGATGGTTGCATGCGTATGTCACGTATCTATGTGAGAAGCCGTGCGACTTGGAGATGATGAGAAGTATTAAGAAGCATAAAGACCGGTAGTGACAGTTGCAAGTATATAATCTGTGAACACAAGACAGGCATGGCTTGATCTGTCCCTGCCAGTCTCGGGACCAAGCTCTCAGTCTCGACACTACTTGTCGAAAACTGGGCGCACTGTCAACACATGGTTCGACAGTAGCATGGCAAAACGAGCAAGACCGTGCGAATTATACTACTATGCTCTGATGTACCTCTCACCCCTCACTTCTGTCAAACTAGTTACGAAAATCCAGCTGACCGGCTGGTCTGCTCTGCCGTCACTGCTGCTGCTGGTCTGCTGCAGAGAGGCCCATCGTCGGATGCTTGAGTCAGAAGGGCTGTCTGCAAGGGGTGTGGGGTTTAGGGTTCAGCAGAGATTCGGGACATGTCAAGGTGCTTGCCAATTTTGGGTTTAGGGATTTAGGGTATTTGTCGCGAATACCTGATGGGTCAAGTCGTTTTTAGGTGCTTGCCATGATTGAGGTGTAGAGCAATCGCAAGATCCACGCTCGAAAGCCCAGGCTTCCAGTCTATAAGTCCTGAACATCACGTAACAGTATTAATATGATTGCTAGTATGGCTAGAACTAATAATTGCTACTATACTGCTGTATTTCATTAGTATTAGTACTGTTTCATTTTTGTACCTACTTCTTCATTACAGTATTCTTGCTGCTACTGCTGCTACTGCTACTACTACTACTACTACTACTACTCCTACTACTACTACTACTACTACTACTACTGATAATAATAGAAACAATAATAATCATGATCATCACTAGTTTGTTGTTGTTCTTATCACAATTATTGTTACTATTACTCTTACAACTCCTTTTGGTATCATCACGATTATTACTATGTATTCCTTTTATTGTGTACGTCAACCTCTTGCCCTCTAAGCACTATACTATACCCGAAAGCTCAAGATTTCAGCGTTGCTCTTTTTGGCCTTGACTGGCCTTTGCCAAGGACGATGGCAGAGCACCACGAGGAGGCCGGATGCCATGGGTTCAGGGTATGGAATCTGTAATGTAGGGGCCTGAACAATTTTAATAGGGTTTTTGGAGGCTCCTTATTATAATTGTAGTATGATATACCCCCCACACCCTATTCTTTTTTTTTGAGGCCGCTATATAGCAGCGTTTTGACGCTGTCTTTCGACCCAGTGGGGCAGAGAGGGGCATGATACAGCAGCGGTGTTGGAGGCTGCATGTGCGTGCTGCAGCTACCCTCAGCCATATGGGTAGTTTTCTAAATTAGGGTCCCTTTTTAGGTCCCCAATATAGTACGGCACCCTTATAAAAAGGACCCCAAAAGGGACCCTAATTTAGAAAACCACCCGTATAATGCCTCTGATGCCTGCATGCAGAGACAGAACTGGGAACCTCCAAAATGCTTTGTGCCCGCTATCCACCGAAGCCCTGGGGTGAATACCCTACTACACCTTGGCAGCCTGCGCAGCATTCACTTCACTGTTGCTGCTGCCCAGCTGCATGACTCCGTGACTGACCGCCCGAATCGGGGATGTTACGGGCTGTGCTACGATCTGCATTGTAACCCCATGACCGCAGCTGTGGGGCTTCCCGAGAATGAGGGGGGTGCGGAGCTGCATCTTATGATCTTACGTCCTCTGTTCTGAGGCTTTGGTGTCCGGGTTTTTGGGGTATCTCTTGTTCATCACGGCTTTGGGCTTCAGGTCTTGTGCAGCTTTTGAAGGGCTTGGAGCCTCACTCCCTCTACGTCTAGCTTCAGATCTACCCTCGTGTTGAAGGGCAAAAACAGCATTTTGCCAGACTGGGAGGGAAGTTGCCTGGGCCCTCACTCTGCACATGAGTCCTGCCAAAGCTTGATATTTTACTTCTTCATCGCGTGTGGGATTCCCGAAAATCAGGGACTCGTAATAGTGTACAATGAGACCCCCAACACCGATTAGTGAGGACCTCGAGACAAGGACCCTGAACTTTTCGACGTCACAAATGTGCACGATGGTATTTCACGCCGCGTTTGACTGTAATCAGGTGCCGTAGCGTCACATCTTGTACAGAATTTGACGGCGAGGAAACCCAAAACCCTAAACCCCTGACGTGGAGGAGCAGAAGCAGGAACGGTCATGATAATGGCATCCCATAATACCATAAAGCCGCACGTTGCCCTTCAAGTCCAACAGGAACCGGTGATAAACTGGGTCTAGGCAGTTAAAAATCTTTTTGCGACCTTGTACAACTCTGAAACAGCCGGCAGGTCAGCTGGGGAGACAACAAGGATGATGATCTCGGCACAATGCCTTCTTGCAAGGACAGGGTAGAAATGCATTACCTTGCTGCGCGCGTACACCAGACCTTGGGTCACAGGTACTTTTGTATGTGTGTATACATATATATATATATATATATTTATATGTATATTATATATATATATATATTTATTTATTTATTTACTTATCTAAAACACACACACACACACACCCACGCACACACGCACACACACACACACACAAACACACATGCGCGCGCGCGCATCTGGACATGTAACACACGAAAACGGCTACTTTGTACTTGTTAGCAGGGTTGACAGCTGCCGCTAAACCCCAAACCCCAACCAGCACACAAAAGTCTCGGCCCCAAGTTGCGACACTCCAAATTTCTAGGGTTTCGGGTCTTAGGGTTCATGGTTAAGGGTTGAAGTTTAGGGCTTCCTAACTAACTTCAATATCAAACGCAAACACTAAATTCCGCGGCGAAGTAATGGGCGAGACTGTTTTGCTCGCGACGTCACGATTGGAAGCGACCTTTCTGCAGAGCCCCTATAAGTTCGATTTGGGCAGTTCCTTCTTCCGCCTAAGTGCCTTTCCTTCTTATGGGATCTGACAATGCATTATGTAAAGCACAAGGAGTTGCAATGGCGACTAGCCTACAGGCATATCTCGGGTCATTAGCTTAAAAAGCTCGCTGGACACTTCGTCCACCCACAAACAAGTTGTCTTAGGTTTATCTACCCGCAGCTACTTTCTGGCGTGTCCTTATGCATTGTAAATCTCGGATTATCTCATCTGCTATTAGAGAGGACGACGACAAGCTCTCATACAGACGGCTCCGCTTACTTGGGCAGGGCTCGTTCGGCGCCGAGCTCAGACTTTTTGGACCAGAGATTTATCTATCCCATCTTATCAGATAAA